CGCACGTGCTACCTTGTTGTTGTTGTTGTTGTTGTTGTTGTTGTTGTTGTCGTTGTTGTTGTTGGTTGCTGCTGCTGCTGCTGCTGCTGCTGCTGCTGCTGCTGCTGCTGCTGCTGCTGCTGCTGCTGCTGCTGCTGCTGCTGCTGCTGCTGCTGCTGCTGTGTCTGCTTCTGGTGGTGGTGGTGGTGGTGGTGGTGGTGGTGGTGGTGGTGGTGGTGGTGCTGGTGCTGGTGCTGGTGGTGGTGGTCGTTGTTGTTGTTGGGCTGGTGCTGATGTTGGTGGTGGTGGTCGTGTTCGTCGCCGTCGTCGTCGTCGTCGCAGGAGTATTACGACCATGACTCCTTTGACCTGTTAGGGCCGATGATGTTGACGATAGTGTGGCAACGATGTCGGTGAGGGCGAGGACGTTTATGAAAACCGCAATGTTTGCTGTGACGATTGCGGTGACTCTCAATGGTGACCATGCTGATGGTAGTGCTGGTGTCGGTTATAGAAGTAAGTTGGATGAAGATCATGACGACGGTGCGACGATGGTTTTCATGATTCTGATTTCTTGTGGTGACAATGCCAGAAGGTGGTGGCGTTGCTTGAGGATGACCATGGAGGTGGGAGGTGGTGATGGTTTGAGGCATCAGCGGCACATGTTTGAACTGTGGGTGCTTGAGGCGTCGAGCCTTCCACGCGAAGCCCCGGTAGTCAGAGCTTGGGCGGAGTCCATGCGACGATGGAAGGCCAGGGCCGCTGAACTGTTCCAAACCGGAACCTTTCGTGCTGCATCCAGCGTGGGGGTGCTGTCAGGCTTCGGGCAACTCGGAAGGAAGAGTCTGTTTCTGCACCGTTGTTGCCGTGGTGACACATGCTTTCGCTAAGTATCATCCAAAGAAGCGCTTCGAGTTTTCGCCCATAGTCTGAAGCGCGTCAACCCCTTATAAGGCATGAACCACTCGGACCCCTAAACCCAGGACATCAAGACCCTGCTGAGGCAAGTCTTCAACACGGGGAGCATCGTTGAGTGTCAGAATACCATCCCAGTGGCTCGACTTTGACGATCGAGGATTTTGGAAGTCGATGATGATTCAAAGGTACCTTTTAACGGACATCAGATGACCCCGAACTCTCTTCCGCATCATTACGACCTAGACAGAAACCCTCACTGAGCCCTACAGGTTTGTAGTGTTTCCTCTCGTTTCGCAAAGGTCGAGCCTGAAAAAATCGAGTACTAAAACCCTTCCGAGACAGCTGGGCGTTTCAGGAGTGCTTTAGCTGGTGGACTGTACCATAAGGATCGATGATAAAGATCACAAGCAGTTGGTGAGCGCATTCTGGAAGTCCGAAACCTTGAAGGACACTCAAAAAAGACAAGTCTCGGTCCTGCCCTGCTTATTCGGAAGGAGGTGTCCTCCATTTGCTACGGCAGTGGCATGAGCACCGGCCCATCATCACAGCCTTCTGGGGTTGAGTTGTAGAAGACTGCACAGGCTCTTCTATTGCGCGCAGCCTTGTATTCACCGTCTTGCATGCCATCTGCCGCATGGTGGCAGCTTTCAGTAAATTGCTCGTGGAAGCGACCCCGTAAACCAGCCTCTCGCCGCATGCGCACATCCCCAATTGCCATGGTGATGCCAACCGGTGAGAACAACACTTCGCCCGGAAGCGCCGCAGGAATTTAGCCGTCCGGGTTGTTGCACCCGCCAGCGCTGTCAACGTAGCCTTCTTCTTCTTTGGCCTAACAGACTGCTAGCACGCAGGCAGAACTGGCAGATAGCTTTCCAAGGAAGCGCGCTTCTGCTCCTGAGCATACGACCTGGTGTCAGAAGCTCCCTGCCAAGCGCGCAGCCAGTATTTGGCTATCATGTCAACGCTTGATCCGTGCGCAGGGTCTGCCTTGAAAAACACAATGTTTCGCGCACTCGGTTGCAGCGCTTCCCGTGTGGCAACCGACTTCCACTGCTGCGACCATCTCCAGCAGGTGCCGCCACAAACCCGAGCCCCCGATGAAGCCAGTTAGCTTGTGACTGTGGACTCTACCTCTCGTCTTCATTGTAGTTCTTTTTTAGGGTTACCTCTTAGGATCCTTAATATGAAAATTCTTAAACCAAAAAAGGAACTACAATGGAGACTCTAGGTAAGCCAGAAAAGGCCCATGCGGTCCTAGCATCTCCCTTTACGCTGCTCGGAGCTCTAAACCCTAAACCCTAAACCCTAAACCCGAAACCCTAAACCTGCCAAGTGTCGCCAGGCCGCTGGTCTCCTTCTAAAAGCCTCCGACCCTGATTACAAGAGGGGCCTTACCTGTAGTCTCCATTGTAGTTCCTTTTTTTGGTTTAACCAATTATATATTAAAGATTTTGTAAGGCATCCCCCAAAAAGGAACTACAATGGAGGCTATAGGTAAGATCTACCCAGACTTTTTTGGGGGTTCCTTACTATAATTATCGTATAATGGGGCCCAAAACCCTATTCTAATGTACGCACAAGGCACTTGGCTCGGGCTAGGCTGGGCCTCACAGCACTAGTTCTCAGTACAAGCACTTCTCTCCATTACCATCTTGTCATATATTCTAAACCTCATGTTGGGGGCTTTCACTGGAGTCATGTAGGACTTCTTGGATCCAAGTCTTTCGACTGAAGCTGAAAAATCCTGCATGGATCTTAGAGTCCGGGTATTGCAGGCTGAGGCTTGATGCGTTACTAGTAAAAGTGTAATCTGTTTGGACATAACATGCACAAACAGTGGTTTAAGGTCAAAGATGTGGATGTATTCATCAGCCATTCCTGGTCATCTAGCCGCTGGGAAAAATACCTGGCCGTCTGCTACTTTCTGCACCGCGGTCGCTTTAAGGAAGACGTCTCATCCGAGTGTGACGTAGCACGAGTATTTTTTGAAGCCTGCTTCACTTGAAGTTCTTGCCGGCAGCGATCCAGGAACCTCGGTTTGGCAGCAAAGGCGATGCTGGCATCTGTGCTGCTCTCGGAAATCTTCATGCTGATTTGCCCCGAGGTGTCCATCCACGTAGTGTTTTGGCTCTTGCTGGATTTCCCTGTTGTTGTCTTCTTCTTGGTCTTCTTCTTTGGGCAGCACCTCACTTGCGGAATCTGGGGTCCCCGCTTCTGGGTGGACAGGCTCTGCGTGGACCAAACCGATGAGACAACGAAGACGGAAGGGATCGCAGGCTTGCCCACGATCGTGGCAAACTCCTCTGCATTTCTCGTCTTCTGGGACAAGTCATATTTCAAACGGCTACTTGTTTCTCATTCGCAAAACCTTTATGCGCAGTTTGAGCGGTTCACAGTAAGAAGCTTGTCGGGGTTACAGCTCGGTTGTGAAGGGGGGCCCACTTGCTGAGAGTCTGATAACCTGGCTTTTGAAACCCCTAGACCCTAGACCCTAAACCCTAAACCCTAAACCCGTATGTGCGGGTCTTCAAAAAGCAAGGCTCTGGTGTAACTTCGAGGTGTCGATTTTCGTGAAAAGCAACGGTCTCAGAAGCCTGCATCTTGTGCCGCTGTGGCTCACTCCGTGGCTGCTGACGACAATGTTGCTCTCTTATGCTTCAGCTCGGCTCATCTCTGCCTTTTCCGAGTTTGATCCGAGCTTCGTCGTCGATAACACCAGCAATTTCCAAGGAGTTGAGGGCGACGCACTTGCATTCGGACTACGTCGAGTATATGAATATGCGCTGCAAACAGAAACTTACGTGCTCTTCTGTGCACCACCCTTGCTGGTTGGTCTTGTTTCCTTCCAAAAGAAGTTGGATGGACACCGAGATATGTTGGAAAGTACCTGTAGTCTCCATTCTGGTTCCTTTTTTTGGTTTAACCAATTGTATACTACAGATTTTATAAGGAATCCCGAAAAAAAAAGAATTACAACGGAGACTAATCATAGGTATGAACTCCTTCGATGTACGAAGTGCCAAATGTGCCGTGGAGCACGACCGTTTGGTCATCGAGGCTCGGCGCCAAAGCCGCTTGCAAGCCTAGCTTCACCTGACTACGGGTAGGGTTTAGGGTTCAGGGTTTAGGGTTTAGTCTCCATTGTAGTTCCTTTTTGTTTGGTTGAACCAGATTAATGCTAAGGATCCTAAAAGGTAACCCCAAAAAGGAACTACAATGGAGACTATAGGCGCTATATGAGCCTCAAAACCTCCTCTCAGGGTTTAGGGTTTAGGGTTCACCCATGTATCTTTACAGTTTTTTCAATGGATGAAGGGTCAACAAATCTTAAGCGATGCCGTTTACGGGAATTGCAACACCACTGCAAGAAGCCATGTGGCACACCCTGTAGCTCAACCCATTCCAGCGTGGTTCAGACTCCACTCAGGCCTTGGAAAGAGTGTGCAAAAGTGCAAATGGCTTCTTATTATCATAGCGGTGTTTCTGAGGTTATCCCAATTGTCGTGCATTTCTTTGGCCTCCAACCCTGATTTGCGGTGAATTTGTAGGAACTGGATATCTCGGAGAAGATATCTGCTATCTGATATAGGGGCCTAAAGAATTACCTATACTATTTTGGGGGGTCCTTTTTAGCATTATAGTCTAATGGGCCCCAAGACCCTATTCTAATTATTAAGGCCCCTACTATAGAACCCCATCAAAGATCCCTTATAGAACCCTTTAGGGATCCCTTTAAAGGAACCCTATTCTAATTATTAAGGCACCTACATTGCACCCATTGATGACAAGACCGGAAGAGCAGAGTTTCAGAAGGTTTTTGGCGCACGAGCAAGCCGCGAGAACGGTTGAACATGGAGTACACCTTACTTGGTT